TTTAGATGGACCACCGATTTGCATCCATCGTTAAGATGGATGCTTTATTCATCTGGACCGCAAATTGTAGAAATGCATTCCTACCTGTATAATACAATTTTCCATATAATTATTATTTCTAGTTTTCAATTTTTTTTTTTTCATATTCATGATCTCCATGTTAAAGATTATATTTAAAAACGTATTTATTGCCAACCCCGTATTTATACAAAATGTGGGCTGGCAGCATAAAAACTGTGTCCATAATATAAAGCACAAGTTCACTTAGTCATTCATATCTATCTATACTATAAGGACCCGGTTTTTATGCAGCTAAGCCCGCATATGAAGAAATGCAGGCGTGGCAATAAATATATTTTTAAATATAATTTCATTCTAATTTTTATAAAGTATATAATCTTTAACATAGGGATCATGAATATGAAAAAATAAAAATAAATAAATAAAATAAAAACTAGAAATAATAATTACATTAAAAATATATTTGGATCTTTAGTTACAATTGTTGGATCACCTATTTGCATCCATCTTAAAGATCGATGCTTTATACCTCTAGACTACATTGTAGAAACGGGGTCCAGCTCGCATGAAACAATTTTCCATGATTATAAAGCACTGGGTTCTTGGTAACACGCGCCACAAGATTTTCGATTGGAAGGCATAGCTTCCTTACAATAAAGAATAATTTTAGTGGTCTTATAGGTATATTTATCATCTCAAAAATGTATTCTTTGTTGATAGGTCTATGTAACATCTTTAATGTAGTACCGAAATTTCGGTGAGGTTTATAATGCGTTTGTCCTTTAGGAGGTTTAGGTGTCTGAGTTTTTGGCATTGCCATTTGGAACATGGTGATGGAAACAGGGCATTCCATAGGGACCGGGAGGGCCCAACTAGGGTGGCGTACCCGCTCCGGAACTCAACTCTGGCGCTCCGTTGTTAGGATCTCTATTGGAACTCGTTTCCTACTTTTTGAAAGCCCTTCTATTTTTTGGATTCTTGATCCCATTTACAACGGAGCTTGCTCCCAATATTGCATGGAACACGTTTCTTAAATTTTAGGATCTCGTTCCTGAATAAATTAGATCCTTGCTCCCAGAGTTTTAGGAACGCGATCCCTACATTCTCAGAATTCCATCCCTATTTATCGAAACATCCTAAAAGAAACTTCTTTAATAAATTAAATAATTATAAGCCAAATTTTCATAAAAGTGGATTTCTGCAATGGGAGCGTGGACTAATTATACACAGAACGCAATCCTTCCTTTAATGGAGCTCGCTCCATTCCAAATAGGAACACGGTCATTCTTAAATGGAGACGCGATCCTGTTGTTGATAGGAGCATGATCCTAATGAATATAGGAACACGAACCCATTTGACATAGAAAACGTTCCAGTTAAATAGGGATCTCAATGCCGATGTATTGGGAACGCGCTCCCTGTTCATACGGGATCTCGATTCACTACTTTTACCCTTACTGGAACTCACTCCCCCGAGCTTCGGAGCTTTGGACAAACATCGCTCCAATCCTCCCGCTCCCGGAATCGGAGCCGCTTCCGCTCCCTATAATTATTGGGCATTCAGATAGTTGTGAACATATGAATATGGTTCACATCTATATTGCTGCCATGATTATTGGTTTCTTCTCAATAGGGAGATATTTTTAGGGTGCAGTTTGCATACGGATGCATATGTAGGTGTAGAGGTAAGGGGCACCTTCAAATTTTATCATGGTATATAATTTTGAAGTAAAATATTCTTAGGTTTAACTCAAAATCTATTTTTATATCTAATTATATAATTTAAAATTTCAAAAAAGGTTAAAATCGAGTAGATCTATAAACATATGAAAA